CATTTATACGCTATTGGGAATGTAATGAATGGCTGGAGTCAGGTGAGACTTCAGGAAAAAAATTAAGGCCTTTTACTTTTACTCTGGAAAAAAAAATATAGGCCTAAAATTAGCGCAACGGTTGGCTTTACAATTCTGTCAGCCCCGCTCAATATCAGTCGTAAGACGCACTGTGCTATTATCAGCTACGAGGCTGGAAAGGCAAAAAATGTGACTTTTCATTAAATGTTTGGGGTTTTTTATATAGACCTATTGAAAGTTTGATATCTTCTGCTTCATTTAAGATTTAAAAATAAACTACTATAATGGACTATAAATATTTCATTTTTATTTATTTTGGAGGGGAGTGTGCTTGGGTGACTAGATAAAGGAATTTGAACTTTGTTAGTGTGTAGCTGTGAGATTATTTTTAGAATCATTACCTCATGGCCACCTTTGCTTCAACCTAAGATTCTCCATTAGTGGAAAATCTTTGCTCCAACATTCTTCATTCGCAATTATTTATAGATTTTGACCCCTTTTCGGACATAAATGGTTTGAAATGTAAACAACTCTGATTGGTAAAACGAATCGAAAACGGTAACTTATTCTAGCTCACACCAAGCTTGTTTACGTAAACAGATGACTGTGTGGGCGTGCCCTGCTAGCTGCTATCGTCTGTTGATCTTTCAGTTTTACACTTGGATTGACTTTAAAAATTCGTTTTTATTGTGTTTTAGAACTTTTAAAAGATTAATTAACCTTCCTCTAGATCTCTCAAAGCGGACTCCTTACCAAGAGGCCACCGAGGCGGTCTATGTGCATGCGTTTGTATGTGTGTTGGTGAGTTTGTATGTGTGTGCGTCGTGTGTGTATGTGTGTGTATGTGTGTATGTGTGAGTGTGCTCTCGTGTGTTTATGGTGCTATTGTAAACGCATAATCAGGTAGCGTAGACACGGCACTTTAACCGACTGGCGGCCTTCCGAATGCGTGGTTTCCATGAAATGGGGGATATTCAGATCTCTGTTTATTTGCTCTTTTGCTATAAAACACCAAATGCTGAACACTTTAAAAAAGTTCTGATTTTCTTCGTTATAACAGTGTAAGTTGTTTGTATATCCGGGTATTTGGAGCTGGAGAATCGCCGAGGAAAGGGAAGGCCTCGCGGTCGGAAAGCGAGGTCCCCAGGTTCAAAATTGACACCCAAGCATTCGAATGCTTAACAGAAAGATTGATGATTAAATACCGTGTTTTTCATTGGCGGAGAGCTATACAGCTTTGAACGTGGTTTGCCGTGGTTATTATTTTTGGCCTTTGGCGTTTAGACAGAAAACCTTGAAAAAAAAAGGGTCTAAGTTTTCAAAGATCATTTTTAACTCGAAATGTTTAAAATACCGGCTTAAAAAGGTACCAATAGAAAGAACAGTTCTTTTTCTATTAGAATAAAGTCGTCGGCTTGAATTATTTTGCATGAATCCGTCTGCAAAACTACCGGGAGCATTCAGTTAACTACACTATTGAGCTGCCTCGCTTGCCGCGAGGGCTGGTGCGACGTCGGCCGAGACAACGCTCGGTGTTACAACAGGTCATTGTGTTTGAGGTAATAAAACTTCATTTCTATGTTTTAGTTATTGTACTCTTTTAATGTAGAGATGTTTGGTGCACTTGGTATTCTTTACTATCTGTCAAACATGGGGTTGCAGCCACTTAACGACTTCATGAATATTTCATCAATATCTAAAATTGAAACAGCTGCCTTTCTCACATAGACTGGGAGGTAAAAGTATGGTACCAAAATTCTCAGGAGACATAGACCTTTCATATGAAACAGATGAGTTGGATATACAGCTACGTTGAAAATTTAGTGTCTGGTACCAAGTATTATGCTAATATGTTGTTGCATTTGACGAGAAGTCCTTTCTTGTTAAGATTTTGTTTGGCCCATAAGTTTTTTCTCTATAAATGAACAGTTTTATACTTTTGTATGTTACCTTGTAGTGGCATAGCCAAGGTATTTGCTAATTTTTCAAGACTCTATGTCAATTTTAAGACCCCCATTTCTGTGGAACTTCGGAGGCCATTTTCTCCTTTTCGTGTTTCCTCATCTCGCTCAATTGAAAGTTCTGTATTTTCGTCAAATATTGTCATATTTACTTCATTCTTATGTTATATTGTTGGGAAAAGGTGATAGTTTTTTAAAATAAAGTTAACTCCTTTTTTAAAATTTCCTTCATATGACTAACATTGACCGACTTGGACACAATTCTGCTTAAAACACAAACACAACATCCCACATACGCAGAATAGAACAATGTGCTTCCTGTTCTTGCAAAGTTGTTTTTCAAGAAGGCAATACATACACCGGCACGCATGACCGCACTTAAAAGGTGTGCAAAAATGAGGACAAATTCTAATGCAGATTTGATATTGACACGTTGTGGGCACTCCCTTTCCTGGTGGGGCAACAAGACCTGAACAGTGTCTGTTTGTTTGTTTAGTATAGGGTTTTACGGCGCTCGCAACTGCATACGGTCATATGAGCGCGCGGGACACACCTAATACTTTTTCGTTGGTAGGAAATTTTGAATTTTGCCCGGGTGGCGGCCGAAGCCTACTCTTATCGATTTTAGACCACCAAGGGATCTTTAACGTACGCAACTTGCACACGGGCCCTCCGAGATTTTTCGCCCTTGTCCGAGAAGGCTAGGTGTAGATCTTTCCTACCAGAAGATCAGGGGTGTGGCAGAAAGACAGCAGTTAGGAGGAGCCAAGGAGTAGCAGTAGAAAGGCTGCAGAAAGAGTCAGGAGCCCAGAGGAGGGGGCAAAGGAGGTGAGGGGGTGGGGGCAGAAAGTGGAAATGAAAGCAGACATCAGAACATTGTTAGAGATCAGGAAAGGATGTGAAAGGAGACAATTTTAGAGAAGAAAATTTTTTGATCGCTACCCGGAATCGAACCCGGGACCTTTGAATGAGAGGCCAACACCTTAACCTCTAGGCCACGAGAGCCCCCGAACAGTGTCTAGATTTTTGTTCTGTAACGAAATAAACGGCTCATGTGGTCATGAGACGCGCTTGTTGAAAAGACGGAAGTAGTCAAAAGCCATATAGATTGTTTGTATGTATGTATGTATGTAGTATGTATGTATGTATGTATGTATGTGTGTATGTATGTATGTATGTATGTATGTATGTATGTATGTATGTATGTATGTATGTATTTATGTAGGTGTGTAGGTATGTATGTAGGTAAGTGTGTATGTATGTGTGTGTGTGTGTCTGTCTGTCTGTCTGTCTGTCTGTCTGTCTGTCTGTCTGTGTCTGTGTGTTTATGTGTGTGTTTGTGTGTGTGTGTGTCTGTGCGTGTATTTGCGTGTATTTCATTTACACTGTACATTGTGCTATGTGTCTTATTTCAAACTTACTGTACCTGTTATTCTTGAACACAGTAGACGAGAACAAGGTGTCTGGAAAGGACAATGAAGATTGGTTTTTTTAATTATCAAATGGAATTTCCGTTATTACTATACCCTTTTGAAGGGTGCATAGGAAGAAGAGGGAATGTCAACTTTTCACATTTTTGTGATGAGCTAATGGATGGATATCTCATAATGATGGACCAGGCCATACATAAATCTGGATGGAAAAAAAGGGGAGAGTCATAAGGTATGCCATGTTTAAAAATACTGTGTTATATGCAAGAAATGAGAAAGTCAATCTTTAAAATCGTTTTTTTTTTTCTCAAAAGTGAAAAACATTACCTTACCCCTTTTTCCTTTGCCCATTTAGATTTTGGTTGGATGAGACAGAAAAGTTTGTAGGGCATTGATGGTGCTGTCTGTTGCATTTTGTTTCATAGGTAATCCCTTGCATCACAATAAGGTCAAATGAGAGATATTACCCGTAGTAGTGCAGCTATAAGATCACCAGGTGGCCACGGGACTACGGATGCGGGGACTCATGTGTGCCCCTTAAAACTTGAATGACCGTTAGTTAAGATTTACATCCCTTGCAACACAGTAAGGTTATTTGAGAGACGCCATCTCAAATTTCAACTTCAGTCTGCTATAGAACTTTGACTTCATGTGAGCCAGGTATCAAAGCCCATTGAACCTCTGGAAACATTTGGTTGTTTTTTTTTCTTTCATATCGTCTCCTGTGGGATTTGAGCCAAGGAGGACCTTCTGCTCTGCAGGCGAGTGACTTAGAGCCATGAAATTAAACTAGATTATGGAGATTTAGAACTTAATATGGAGATGCGGCATTTGTACTTTGAGGCATTCAGTTCAATTTTTCAGAAAATTGTTGGGTTTTTTTAAATACAAAAACTGTTTCTCAATTCCAAAGGAAAACAGCAATCTGTGAAAACTTTTTAAGTTGAAACATTGATTATACACACAAACAATGGGTAACAGTTAGATAATGAGTTGGTGATTGATTTGAATCTGGAGCCATCTCAAACTTTAATTAATTAAAGGCTTATATCTCAAAACCTGAGTGCGTGGACATACGACAGTTGTCCTCTGGGTCGACGAACCACGTCACTGACAGATATGTGAGGCAGCGTGATGGAATCAGGCTCTCGTCAATTTTTGAGCCTGTAGAGTTATTGGTATCATCTTAAAGCTTGTTCACTTGTCTTTATTTGGATGAAAAAAATTATCCATTTATCTTGAGTACAAGTCGAGATATTTGCGAAAGAATGGGGTGGGGGCACCTGTTTTCAGAGGTATAATTAGTGAAAAAATGGCCGCGAAAGATTCGTTATTTCCTTAGCTTAAGAGTCCGTTTTAACAGAAAATTTACCTGGGAGCAACAGTAGAAAGGCTGCAAAAAGAGTCAGGAGCCCAGAAGAGAGGAAAACGGAGGTGAAAGGGGGGGGGGAGAGAAAGTGGAGACGAAAGCAGCGACAGAACATTGCCAGAGAACAGGAAAGGGGGTGAAAGGAGACAAATCTTTAGAGAAGAAAATTTGTTCCACGCTACCCCGATTCGAACATGGGACTTTTGAATGAGAGGCGAACACTTTAACCTCTAAGCCACGAGAGCCCCCTAGTGTGACAGTAAAATGAAAAAAAGAGCATAAGGGAAACGGTTATAGTTTGATAATTGCAAGAGTGTGACAGTAATTTTTTAAAACTATGAGTGAGACTGTAAAATGAAAAAGAAAAAAGAAAGAAAACTCTATTTCGCTATTGATCAATCAAGAGGACAGCTCAGCAGGCCAGCAGCTGTTGCTGAGATTTACAGTTTTCGGTAGCAGTTTTGCCAGTAAATATTGCACAAAAAATCTTTAACTGCTCAATGAGCTTCATTCAGTTCTTTGCTCGGATGTTATGCGGCAGGTTTTCCCTCTGGAATGTTTTGAAGGCCGTGTGGTATAGATGTGCCTTTAACTAATTTAGGTGTGGTGAGTGTCATCGTCAACATTCATTGCAATGTATGTGTGTGTGTATATACATCTTGAGACTATCATCTTGTAAAGCACTTAAAAGGCAAAGGAATTCGCCTTAAAAAGATGTCGATCAGTCCATGAAGCTTGTGTTGAAAAGCCCACTTTGAAAGGCTCTTTGCGAAATATAATGTAGGAAACCGGTTCTGGGGTGTTATCTATAAAGTTTAGAATTTACATTTGTAACAACAGCTCCTCTTTATAGTAATATTATCTCTAACTTTTGGCCCCTGTTAATGTTGCAAGTGCCATAAAACTCTTACTAAGACAAAACTAGTCAGCCATAGTCTTATCTCTATGAAGTGTTTTTCCAGTAGTGCACTACGGTACTAGATCTACGTATATAGCAAATATACGATAAATCGGACTGAGGTAATTCAGAGTAGGCCTACATGTAGTTCAGTCAAGCATGTGTAAGACGACTATCCATTGTCGAGGAGAATAGCTGCAATATGAGACAGGTGGTCACAGTTTTATTGAGGAGCCTGAAGTCACTGTAGTTTAATTTTCAGTTTTTCATTAATTTCGTTTAGATCTCATCTAAGACGCCATTGCAAACAAGTGGGTTTCCGCCACTAGCCGCGTGCACTGTTTCCCAACTTTGAAATTCTGGAGTGTACAACCACGAAAGCGGGATAGAGAATCAATCTAGATCTATACATGATAATCACTATATCTAAATCTTCTAATTTGTTGCATCTCTCAGGATTTATTGCTCCTTTCCAGAAGAGTGTAAATATAGTGGCTTATGTCTTTCAGTTGATGTTAATGCACCGATCATTCCTTTCATCGAAAGGGGGCCCAGCTAGTTTTATATAAAATTGTAATGAAGAGGTTTTTTTAAATCTAGCCTCAATTGTTGTGGAAAAATATGATTAAGTTAAGACAAATTGATACAAACTGCTGTGCAAAGTATGGGTGACAATGATTCACCCGTTAAAAAGATATTTGAGGATAGATAAGCTGCTCCACGAATTTCTGACTGCACTACAGATCTAAGTGTATACGCGTACATGTGTGTGTGTGTGTATGTGTGTGTGTGTGTGTGTGTGTTTGTGTGTGTGTGTGTG